TCAAATAACAAGGTGGCTGGATCGTCGTAGGTTGTTCGAGTGGACGTGCGTGTGGAATGAGGAGAGGCTGTGGTTTGTGGACAGCAAGGAACGACGAAGTGGTACAGTCGCTGTCAGCAAAGCTTAGATGAGAGAGATAAACCACACACAGTCACTCAAAGACGTAAATTACTTAAAGTTGTTTCTCTGAAGCCGACGTTCGCCCAAGTAATATTTAATAATTCAGCCCGTACCGCGAAGAAAACACTACACTTTGCCATTAGAAAAAGTTTTCTTTGCTTTTGTGCGATTTTTGTATGATAATATGGACTTTAAAACTGAATTTCGTCGAAAATCGTTGAGTATTGTAAGAGACTAAACGCATGTGTTAATTTTACTTACTGTGTTCTAATGGCTTCTGTACAAATCATCCCTGTTACGAACAACAAAACTGATTTTCATCTGCTTGTCCACTTCAAAGATACTTCTTGAAAGGTTTTGAACGTAGTGTTCCTCGTTCATGCTCGCTCCATCCTTCAGATTTTAGTTAAGTTTTATCATAAGTACAAAAGCGTCTTATATACTTCTCTTTGTGACATCTCTTGAGCATATTTGCTAGGTAATTGTAAGCTTTATGGTAGCGAGAGCCATCTACCAGCAAACAGAGAGCACTTGTAGTTCGTCTCACGCGCAGGTAATACTGACGTTCTATTTCGACCCAACTATGAAGGTAATCTGTGCTGCATTCGTGTTCGTATGCCAATTAATATTCTGCACTTCCAACTTTATTTGATTTGATGTTTGTAGACAGTTAAAAAAAAAATTGGTAAAAGTGTGTGGTATGTTCCAAGGCCCATGCACAGCAAAATAAGCCATGTACCTGTGTTGTTTCTAATAGTTTCTACAGTCATCCATAGATAGCACTAATGTGAAGTTATATTATAACTTCACATTACACAGGGTTTAGGAAGAGACTAACTACCAGGCTTTATTGAGATGGTAAATGTCATAATGAACATTTTTGAAAGAAATATACCACACTAAAAGTAGCTTAATCTATTCAGAGGCTTGGCAGTAATTCTGTTTCCTTCAATATGTCGAGTCGAATAGATCACGGCCCTGAGTTTCCGTCTCGCATAGGAACGTGAAAAGTTTAGTGATGGATGGGATTGCCAACCTTCGCTAGCGGAGAAGACGATATGTCTAAGCGCTGGATAAATCTTGTTTTTTTTTATCACTTCTGTTTGATATGATCAATGACAAAGTTAATTAACAAAATACAAAAAATGCACATAATATAATTTATTACATTTAGTGATTGAGGCATTATTGAAACATTAAAAGTTAGAACATACACAAATAAAATATTATAAAGTTGACTATTTACAAAATGTGAGACTTTTGCATATAAAGGTTGTTATCACTGATGAATTTTAAAAATTTTCGTAGTATAATATTTATATATGACAAGGCATATAACTAGTATACACTTACTTAAAGACTAAGTGCAGATTGCAAAGAATGTGTGGACAATGTGACTTAAATATTTTTTGTGGAATATTAACAAGATTGAAAGCAGTAGTGCGATGTTTACTACGAAGTAAAATTTGGCCTTCCAGTGGCAACGAGGGCCAGTATTGAACTTCAGCAAATGAATAACTTACTTCGTATTTTGTCAAGTGTCACAAGAACAGAATTTTCTAAGTTTTTTTGAGGTTATGTACGAGACCAAAATATGAGATTTTGTGACAAGTGGATGCATATTATGCAGAGATAAGAAGTCAGAAACGTTTGTGGAACATTTCAAAATGTGTTTTATACCACGTAATTTATTGCTAAATGTTAACAAAACAATTTTTTTTAAATCGAAAGTTAAGGGAGTGTTAACCAACATGGAAAAATTAACCAAATAATTCATGTAACACATATCAGTGTTAAGTTTAATAATTATCCATAAGCTTTATATTAACTCGTTGCTGGATTGAGGTTGTTAACGTCACCGTGGATTTGTCCCAGAAGGACTATACATATGTACGTACTAGAGAACCATATGGATCATTATTTGGCTTTTAGAAAAGAACTGAATAGATATAACTATCCTGATGACCTAATTTTATAGTTGTTTTCTCTATTAAACTGAGAAGTGCAATGTACTTTCTTAGATCACAGATACGAGGTGCGATCGGAAAGTTTCAGAACTGCGCGTATAAAAACCCGTACACCTATCTCAGGTATTAAATTCATCCATCACCCTCGAAGTAGTTCCCCTGGGAGTGAACACAACGATCCCAGCGCCGCTGCCAAGCCTGGAAGCATCCCTGGAAATCTTTCTTTGTCAGCCTGTCAAGCACCATCTGCGATTCTGCCTCAATCTCTTCTATCGTCTCAAATCTCCTTCCCTTGAGCTGAATTTTCATCTTTGGGAAGAAGAAGAAGTCACACGG